CACTTGCTGCTGTTACAGAGGACCAGGCAAGTGCCCAGATGGTGGCTAACAACCATCCGTAACTCCAGTTTCAGGGAATCTGATGTCCTCTCTGTCCTCTTAGATACATGCAGACAAAAATCCTCATCCACATAAAAAATAAAAAGTGATTTCTAATTCTGTTAACACAGATGGAGCAATCACAAAGATGGAAATCAAAAATTTTCATTCATACTTCAACTTAAAAGCATGTTAAATACTGACATTCAATAAGATGAAGCCTGTGTTTTTAGTTGTGACAACTGTCATAGATGAGATCAGATTCCAGATTAATCTCCCAAATTACAATATACAGGGTTTTCAGACATATGCATTCAGAGACACAACTTTCTGATACTTTTCATTAATTCCAAACATGAGTCATTTTGATTTTTTCTTCTTTTCTAGCCCTAACTCCAAACATTTCATTTTAGATTGAACTGAGAAGTAACATGACCATCTTAAAATTACACAGTAATTTGTATAATTGTAAATGTAGTGTCAGGCATGGTGGCACACGCGTTTAATCCCAGCACTCAGGAGGCAGAGGCAGGTGGATCTCTGTGAGTTCAAGGCCAGCCTGATCTACATAGCAAGTTCCAGGCCAGCTGGGGCTACAAGGAGACCTTGTCTCAAAAAGACCCCCCCACACAAAAAATTGTAAATGTAAGGAGAGTGTATTTTCATATGCATTTTCGGAGGTGCTGGGAATCATACCCAAGGTCTTGTACATGCTAACGTTTACTTTCCCTCTGTGCTATACTCCTAGTATTATATACATTTTTTTTATTATGTGTCTGTGTTTGTATGCAGGTATGTGCACATGAGTGACGGTGCCCATGAAGGCCAGAAGAGGACATTAGGTCCCATGGAACTGGAGATTCAGGCAGTTGTGAGCCACCCAACATGGATGCAGGTTCTCTGCAAAAGCAGTACGTGCTCTTAACAGATGCACCATCTCTCCAGTCCCCATATGAATTCTATTGTTTGGGAACCTGGGCCTTTAAAGGCTACAGCATCTCTCTATACCCCTCATATGCATTCTTATTTGATCTGCAGAACAACTCTAGAACCCTGACAGGGCAGATGTGTGGTAGTTTCATTTGGTGGATGACTACATTCAAAGCCTAAGGTTCTGGATTTTCCCAGGACCACAATGCTAATCAGTGACTAAACTTGAAGACTAAATCTCATTTTGTGTTCTTTGTTCTTTTTGACAATTGTTTTGCCAGAGAAACAGAAACATAAAGACAACCATATTTTAAAACCCTCAACAGTCACATACTAGGAACTGAATGTAGGTCTTTCTCTAACTCATCTTTCAGGTTACTCCATTTGTCATGGCTTCTGACATTTTTATAGTTTCTTGGGTTAGAAATCTTAGGCTCAAAAGTGACGTATGGGGGCTGGAGAGATGGCTCAGCGGTTAAGAACACTGGCTGTTCTT